TTTTGCCCGCTATGTATTTAAAAAAGGACTTCTTGTTGTCCTTTATCCGGGTCGCTAGTCTCAGTTCCATCTCCGATTTGGCCTTCCTGACCGTCTCTCTCCAGCCCCGAGCAACCACAGTATAGTCCTCCCTGGTGATGGCCCCTCCCTTCCATTGGGTGTATGCCTCCTTTTTACCTAGGAGACGTTCCCGTATGCTTTTGGTGAGCCATGGGGGCTTTTGTGCCCTCCTGCCCCCTTTGATTTGCATTGAGATTACCTCCCTTTGGGCTTGGAGGATCATCTTCTTAAGAAGCAACCACTCTTCTTGGACACCCGACTCCCCTCCCCTCCGGGACCTCAGTGCCTCCCTGACTATTCTCCTTAGCTCACTGAAGTCCGCCCTCCTGAAGTCCAGGGCTGCTGCCTTGCTGCAGGCCTTTGCCACCTTGCGCTGGATGGTGAATTCCAGCAGGCGATGATTGCTGTCGCCCAGGTGGTCGAGCACCCGCAGCCCCCTCACCAGGTCGTCACCCGTGGCCAGCACCAGGTCCAACAAGGGCATCTCCCCTGGTGGGGCTGTGCACCTCCTGGGTTAGATGGAGGTCCTGCATTTCAGCTAGGAACCTACTTGAGTGGTCAGACCTAGCTGATTGCTCTTCCCAGAAGATATCTGGAAAGTTCAGGTCACCCATGATGACCACGTCTTTTGACCTAACTACCTCCATGAGCTGACTTAAGAATTCCTGGTCTAGGTCTTCCCCTTGGTTGCGTGGTCTGTAACAGAACCCCACTGTTAAGTCCCTTTCCTCTTGACTGCCTTGTATTCTAACCCAGAGTACTTCAGTGTGCTCCTCCTCTGACCCCATGCTTCTTGATGAGGATGTGTATTTCTCCTTGATGTAGAAGTGACACACCCCCACCTTTCCTCCCTGTCCTGTCCCTCCTGTACAGTCTATAGCTCTTGATATTCACTGCCCAGTTGTGCGTTGGGTCCCACCACATTTCTGTGAGCCCCACTATGTCTGGGTTGGTGTCAACTAGCAGGAGGGTAAGTTCCTCCTGCTTGTTTCCCGTACTATGAGCGTTTGTGTACAGGCATTTGAGGCCTCCTGAAGATGTGTGCACTGGCCCCCTAATCTCAGCATTGCCCTGGCCCCTGTTGCTTACCTGTGTATTTGTTCTGCTCGTTGGTCTAGGCTGGGCTGTACTTGTGGGTGCTTTTTGGTTTAGAGGTCCAAGGCTTCCTCCGCCCTCGTCTTCCCCTTCCCCCGATGAGCCTAGTTTAAAGCCGGGTGAAGGGGAAGACGAGGGCGGAGGAAACCTTGGACCACTAAACCAACCGGCACCCACTTGTCCATGTCTGTTTAATAGTTTCCACCAATACAACAGTATCTGTGCTTGGAACTTACCATCATCTTCAGAGTCAGCAGCTTGCATGGAAATCCATCCACAACGTGGTGAACCCTCCAAGACAGTGATGGAGCTAGAGGGAAAATCAAAACTTGAACTCAGGAAAAGGGAAAAGGATTTAGCTCTGTGCAGCAAACACAAGACAGTTGGACATACTAAGAAATAAAAGTTAAGAGAGAAGTTACGTGACCTTTTTCAGTGGTTTCACTTCAATTCTTCACTGTTGAAGTGGTCACAATAGCGCAGGTTCACTCCCAACAAAAGTGTGACACACATGAACTGCCCAACGTTACAAGAAGCCAAGCCACACTGAACACTAAGACATTTAGTTCCCATCAGCCATACTTTTGCTTTTAAGTACAGCAGCAGCAAACTGCAGCTTAGTGCAGAATTTGGGAGTCGTAAGGATAACGTGAAATGAGATCAGAGTATTTAATAACCAAATTTAAAGCCAGCTCTTAAAAGGTAGAAGCTCTGGTGAATGTACATTTTGCTTATTTCTTTTCCAGTGCAGAATATACAGCACTGAGGATAACAGAGAAAGGCAATATCAGGTTTACTACCTCAGCAATGGAAAACTGAACAAGGGTGAGGTCAATTTATAAGCATCTGGAGGCCTGGAGTAATGCAGGGGTGGAGGAACCAAGAGCAACAATCCTTCCTTAATCTCTAAGAATTTTTCCTATGGCAAAAGATGCACTTAAATCTACAATGATTCCTTCACCTAGCACTTCAGCAGCACTCACACAGCTTTAGTTAGGAAAAAGTCTAAGTCTTTATTTGATCTCATATTGCAAAGTTTTGGTCACCCGTTTGCAGATACCTGTCTAACATTGTTCCCAGTTTCTTTGCAACATGTGCTCTGAACTCTGGTGTGGTCTGTAACTCGTTCCCATCTTGGTCATGATCATTCACTCTCTGCCTGTTTAAAATAAAAAACAACAACAAAAACTGTGGTCTTCTTCAGGCCCTGTGATCCTCTGTTGTTCTCAAGTAGGTGACAGGGGACCTGCACTGTGACAGAGCATCTTGCGCCTTAAATAATCAATTTAAATCCAATTCAGATAAATAGTAAACAAAAGCAATTATTATAAGAGGGCTGTTCACTAGCAGATGTGGACTTAGCTTTAGTGGGCTCAGGACTGTTCCCAAAGCACACATTACCCAATTACCTCCAACTTAAATTATATTAACTGACCCATTTGTGAGTCTCAAGAGCAGAGACAAAGAACTAGAGCCTGGGAAATCCTCTCACTCCTACACATGGTCCCTGAGGAACAGAGCTAGGATATATTAGGCAAGGCAAGTGCTGCTGCTCATACCAACTCTGCTCTTAAAGAGAAGGCTTTATTACGAGCAGCTGGGGTGACAAGCTTGGAGTATAAATTCACACAGAAAAGTATGGTATAAACTAGGGGTGCACCAATAGAGATTTTTGGGTCCAGTGCCGAGATTTAACGAAGCATATCAGCTGATACCAATCCGATTTCCAATACAGCTGCCTGGTAAGTATATTGTGGGGGAAGGGGAGTGAGGGGGGTGGGGGGCAGATTAATGCCCCCTGGGGTGAGGGAGAGGGCAGAGGCAGGCACTGCCCAGCCAGGGCGAAGCTGGGGAGAGGGCACAGGGTGGGGTGCCCCTCTGATTTGCGTAGGGTGGGGCAGAGCAGGTTGCAGCCGAGACCGCACAGGGCTCTTCTCGGCAGGGCCTGGGCTCAGAGCAGGTGGAGGATGCTGCATCCACCCCAAATTTAGCCACCATTCTGCTCCCAGCGCCACCGCCACCAGTTGCCCAGTGAAGCCTGGCCTCTTCCCGGCATGTGGGTGGAGGCAGGCTGTTCAGTTGGGGCTGTGGCTGGCAGTGGAGCGGCAGCGAAATGTGAGGTAGATGCAGCACCTTCCCAGCACCACTGGAGCCCGCTCCAAGCCCAGCCCCTGCCAAGAAGAGCCCTGCACAGCCCTGGCTGCAGCCCACCCTCCCACCGTACCCTCCAAGGGTGCAAGCAGTGGCGAGAGCCATGTCCCCTGTCACGAGCCAGGCCTCTGGGCCCCCCCCAACCCTGCCTGAGCAGCACCTGCTCCTGCCCTCTCCCTCACTGCGGGGGGTGCTGATCCGTGCCCCCCCACCATTCCCTCCCCTTTCACCACACCGGACTTAAAAGCTGGAGGCAGCTCTCCACGCTGCTGGCTCTGCTTCTTGCTGCCCGAGTGCTGCGCTGCAGCTGCGTGTAGCACGGGCATTTATTGGCCAAATTATTGGCCTATTGTGCCGATATCTGATATAGCCAAGTTTCTTTATATTGGTACTGATCCAATATCGGACCGATATATCTGTGCACCTCTAGTATAAACTACTAAATTCACACAGAAAAGTATAAACTACTGATTTAACTATGCAGAAAAACTGTCTTCAAAGAACAAAGTTGCTAAATCAAGCACTCAAAATTCAAAGATGCTGGAATTAAGGCTGCCTGCGTCCAAAAGCACCAGCTGATGCAGCTCAGAATGTTCAATGGATTTCATGGTTTCAAGCTGGGCCCCAAAAATGAGGAACATGCAGTTAGTGGCCACCTGTAAAAATCCACTTTACACGATCGCACAGGAACCTTGTGATGGGGACAGGGATAAAAACCAACTTTTCAGGATAGCATTCAACTGCCTTCACAGCAAAAACGAGAACAATCTTATGATTCCCCCATGTAATCACTACACACCTTCCACCTTCAACAAAGGTGGCATGCTCCTATAAACAGCTCCCTTTACTACACGATAGAGATTTTGGGGCCTGATACCGATAGTCAATTTTTAAGGAGGCATATTGGCTAATAATGATCCAATTTCCGATATGCAGCCAGGAAGCTTGAAGAGCTGTGTGCAGCTGGCAAGTCTGTTGTGGTGGAAGGGAAGTGGGGAGGGAAGGGGCATGGGGGTGCAGATCAAAGCTCCTGCAGTGAGGGAGAAGTGGGGCTAGGGCAGGCGCTGCCCAGCTGAAGTGAGGCAGGCATGGGATGGAGTTGAGGCTCATCTAGGGGACGCAGGGAGGTGAGGGGCAGCTCCTGCTGCTGTGTGCACCCTGGGAGGACGCTGGGGGCGGCGTGTGCCACCAGATCTGTGTAGGATGGGCTGCATAGCTTCATGCCACTCCTGCTTCTTGCCTGGCCTGTGCTCAGGACTCTTATGACCTTTCTTCCCTTCATTGTAGTGCTGCAGTCATTGGAGGCAGGGCTGTGCTACTCTTCCTGACAGGGGCTGGGCCGAGCTGTGCTCAGGGTGGGTGGTGGTGGCGCTGGGAGGGGGCTATGCAGGGTAGGGGGCTGCAGCCACCCCAAAATTTACCATAGCCTCCCCATAGCCTCTCCTCCCAGACCTGCCCTAACTCGGACATGCTTGTCTTTGCAACCATAACCTTCTGGATCTGCCACAGAAAGGTGCATCATCAGAGCCAGATTCAGGGCAAAAGCCTGCAGGCCAGATTGCAGGCCATGTCTGACACACCTAGAGCAAATGACAACCTCAGTAAGTTGTCAGCCTCCCTGAAGATCTGCCATTAAGGAGGGAACACTAACGGAAATTCAGCCAGGCGATTTCACAGACATTTGCTGACAGCAAAGGAATGTTGAGACTCAAGAATCTTGAGCTCCATTTCAAGCAGAACTTTCCTAAGTTATAAGCAATGGGGAACAGGTTTTAAGAAGGCAACTGTTGTGCAACTATAATGAGAGGCCACCATACTATTTCTGCTATGACAGCAGCACTTTTCTTCACTGAAAATGGACTCTGAAATCAGGAAAAATACCTGAGACTTGGCTGAGCTGATGGTAGCTTGTCCGTCCTTAAGCCACCTGACAAAGGAAAGCAAAGTCAAATTAGAATGATCCGAAACACCCATAATTCCCATTTTGTTGTAACAGATTTGACAGAGTATAAATCCTTTTGAAAAACAGGACAGGGGTCACATTCAAAGAATACTGTTATGATCTGAAACTCTCAAGCTGTACATAAAATGGCCTACACCACTGGCTAAAACATAACCAGTGTTTACAGTGGATCTATCCGCTGAAGAAGGAAAGCATCCTTACGTGGCAAGAATCCTCTGTGTATACAGTGTATTTCATTTAAAACATGTATGGCCCTAAAAGGGCAGCATGCCTTATTAGCACTGTCTGGGACATGGCACCTCATGGAGCACCAAACTTTTAAATGTTTAGTTCTGGCGTAGGTTAAATGCACCTGACAGGCACCCTCAGAGGTAGGGCTAGACACAGGAGGAAACCACAGGCAGAGGACAAGCCAAAGACTGACCAACAATTTAGCTACTGATTAAGCAGCCCAGGAATTGTGGCTGGAAAGAAGAGCTGGTCACCAGGCCAGGGGCTCACATGCTTCATGGATGCTCAACCGTGGGGCGTTTGGTTTCAACATCTGCTAACGCGATGGGCAGCCACGGAGCGGGACAGGACCCTTCGCCAACGGAAAGGGATCCGGGCTGGGCAGGGCAGGGCAGGGCAGGGCAGGGGGGCCCGGCCGGACCCCGCCACGTGGAAGAGGAAGAACCCGGCCAAGTCGGTGTCCAGCCGCCTACCGCTGCTGGCCTCCGGTCGCCCCGTGGCCGCCCGCTGCCCCGCCGGGTCCCAGGCGGCCTCGCGGAACCGCTCCCAGTCCTCCGCGCTGCTGCTCCCGCTCTCCGAGTCCGACCCGCCCGCACCGCTGCCTCGCGTGGGCGCCGCCATCTTGGAACCCTCCCCAGCCGCGAAGCACCATGGGGCTTGTAGTCCAGAACGGCACTCTCCCTCCGCAGCCCGTGCGGGCGGGAGCCGGCTTGTCCGCGGGAGCTCCGCTCCTGCCCCAGCCTCCTTTGGCAGCGTGTCCCCTCGCCCAGCAGTGCCCGAGAAGCTCCAGGGCCTTGCTTTCTACCTCTGTCCGGATAGCTAAGGCTGCAGCCTGCGCCCTGCCCAGCTTTAGCAAGCGGCTCCGAGAGGCCAGCCCTGCGGGATCTGCCTCTGGCTGCGAGGGCCCCGGGGAGAATAAGGGACAAGCGATGCAGAGCTCAGCATAGCAAGGAATGCATGGGCTGCAACAGCTCAGGGGCCCTGAGGAGAAGGGGAGACCCGGCAAGCTGGGAAGCAGCAGTGGAGTCCTCAAGGACAACCTAGGCAAAGAGCCTGCCGGCAGTAAGTCTGGCAAGGGCCCCGGGTGTAAAAGCAACAGATGAAGGGGAGCTGAGTCCCCTGGGTGTCGAGTCCTGGAATAAATGTAAGAAGGGAAGATAGAGGCTGAATATCAAGGATGAGCACTCAGACAGCAAGACCTGTCCCAGCGAGAGATGGGGACAGACATACTGCTTGGGTCTTTCAAAACTAAAGAGACAGACATATGCAGTATGAAAGAGATGCTAGAAAATGTGCACTAGCCAACAGTCCTGCGTTGGCAGGGAGATGTCAACTGGAGATTTGTGTTGTTATTTTCCATTTCTGACAAATGGTTTGGGGTTTTGCTTTGCACAATGTTGCGTGCTTGGGCACGTGAAATTCCTGGAGGACTCCATCAAGATGTGGAAAATGTGACAGGTAGACAGTCATTAATTCATGTACGAAGAAATGCATTAAGTATATTTTTTCCATGCAAAGGAAGTCTACATTGTCACCACCTGTGCTTCTTGTAACTAGTATGCACACAGATATGGGACCTTGCGTTCCAGGGATTCCAAACATGCTAACAACATTTAATAGCAAAATTAAATGGAACCAAATTATTTAAAGACAGAAAACAGTGGAGAACTGCTTTCCCAACCTCTTTTAGTCAATATGCTGCATTGTATTTGGACCTTTCCTAATGACTTACAGTATGCTATGCAGCTATTTCTTTTACCTGGTAGTTTTAACACTTTCTTAATGGAAATCTTTATGTTCCTAATAATACATATGAATCAAGACAGAAGTTTTAGTCCATTGTTATGTCTGCCAATGAGAAGTACAAGATGCTTCAGAGCACGGTGTAAAATACCTCCATCTGACATTTATGGGATAGGTTTCCCTCGCTTTATGCTGTACATGTGTTCCTGGAAAATGGCACATAACTCGAATTTGTGTAAAGGGAACCCACTTTACAATGTAGCAAATAGGGATATGTTCCAAGACTTCAACCGTACTGACTCCCAGACCCATTTCTACCGCTTTTACAAGACAATTTTGGTACTTTCCCACAACAGACGGTACACACAAGCACAGGGCACTATTATAATGATGGCAACTACAGAAACACATGTTGCAGACAACAAGCAAGGAGCACAGCTCCACACAGCAGACTATATTTTGGTGCTTGTCACTCCCACAGTGCACTGTGGAAAACAGTTGACTGTGGGTTTCCACCACACAGGTCGCATAACAGTGAATTTACGTTGCATATAACAAATTGTTGGTATAAAAAGGGTCATCACATAACAGTGAATTTGCATACAGAACCCGCATAAAGTGAGGGAAACCTGTAATGTGTGCTTATATATGACAAATTGTTCAGGATGTTCGTTGTGAGCTTGTTATTATGGCAGTGCTTGGAAATATAATTAAAAAGGCAGATAAGAACTGTCATCCTAGAAAAAAATGTTTGAAAGCAAGCATGTCACCTGCAAGAGACAGGTAGGATGCTTCAGGCCAAGAGAGACTCATGAAGCAAGTAACAGTTCCTGGAGAAGGCTTTCCATGTCCACCTAGAAAGAAAGGTTTAAGGAAAGACTGGAAATACATGGGCTAACAGGGCTGTTGAAAAGATGCAGGATGAAAAGGGTGATATCCTCAACTGTGTTTACATGAGGCCATGAATATACTACTGTGCTAAAAATACTAGTAGTATGGGAGAATAGTGGGAAGAATGACCGTGGAAAAACACTGGTACTAGACCCTGAAAGAGCCCTGACAAGGTGAAGGATTATTTATCTTGAATTGTGTTTGGCAGTCTATTGAGTATCACACCCTGAGGAAGGAAATCAAGGCATAGCAATACACATGATGGCTGATTTAGTAGATGTGGCACATAATTTCCTATAATCTTAGGCTGTCAAGTGCCCTGGAACATGGGGTTGTACCCCTTATATATGTTTTCCTATCCAGTGTTCATCTGAAAGCTCTTACAAACATATGACATGGTAATCCTTTGAATCCAACTTGGATTCAATGAGGAAAATACTGCCTTCCAAAATTTTTTAACTTGTTGCTATTCCATGTAATTGCTCCTTGTAAATGTTATTATGGGAATAGATAGGAAAGCCTCATTTATCCTCTCCAGATTCTTCAGGGTTCAAAATTATTGTCTCCTTGTACTAAACCTGTCTCTAAACTAGCTTAATTTTTTCAACCTCTTTTTTGTAAGGAAGGAATGTTTATCATATTGCTGAGATTCTTTGCTGTCCATCTCTGAATCTCTTCTATGTTAAGAAATAAATGTTGGCTAATAATCTAGTAAGTAAATGCTCTTGGATGTATATACTGAGAGTGTATTTTAAATATTTATATGAGACAGAAATAGAATCATTCTTTAGATAGCCTAACATTATAACTTGCAACTATCATTTGCATTGACAAGATTCCCTCAGTAAGCTGTCTAAAGTAGCTTTTAAATGAGTTGTATAGTTACCACAAAACATCAAAGCAACAGAGAACATTTTGAGCACATTACTTACTTTCATGCTCATAATACTGCAGAAAATCTGTTTATTTTGTAACAATATTCAATAAGAAATTTCTGCAGCAGTAACTAGCTGCACTGACTGCCACCTGACTCATTCTGGCTCTACTAGGGTGATGTCACAATCCCACAAATACCTTTAGGGCCTGTGTAACATCTCACTAATTTGATATAGTATGCAAGTGCTGAAATTTTGCTGAAACACTGATGCCCCAAGCCAATCTCATGCTTCTCAGAATATTATAACTGTAATACAGGAGTTTCCTGTCAGGCCAGACCTCTCTCGGTCTGCTATCTGGTACCATGTAAACCAGTACAGCCTGTTCCATGGTTGGGTTGCTGGCGACTAAATGAGCACCCCCACCTGTGCTAGCCTGGACTGAAAACAAGACCTGCCAAAGAAGGATGAGCTTCCTGCAAGCCAACAACTATCTGTACCTGGAGAGGATATGGGTGCCAGCAGGTCACTTTGCCTAAAGAATCATCAGTGATGCAAATCAACTCAATTAATCTCATACCAGATTGGTCGAGGCCTAGATCTACAGCTGCATCCAGAGTGCAGTGAAGGAAGGTTGTTACAGCATCTAAGGTGCCCCAACAATCACAGCAGCCTTGGGACTGACTTGACTTGAATACAGGAGTTTGGCCTGTCTGACAAGGTTCTTTGGGTAAATCCAGTATCTTTTATTAGACCACCTCTTGTGGGCTCAGATCAAGCATAGTCCTATGCTTGCCTGGCAAGAAAAACACCATGACTATGGAGGTAGTTCTTCCTAGTCGCACCGGGGAAAACTGCTCTCCTGGCACAGGGATAGTACCTGCCAAGGTAATGTATAATAAACCTCCCACTTAGCTGCTGGAGTGGGAAGGTCTTGACTTTAAGCCCACTTAATGGAAATGGGAGTCTCCTCCCTGGCTTGCCCCTGGGGCCCTATGGCTGAGGGCAAGCAAAACTTGGAGGCAGCTGAACCCCAAGCTTCTGGGCTTGGGCCTGCAAGTAGGATGCCTGCCAAAGGTTTTAGAAACATCTGAAGCCCCAGGTGTGGGTGGAGGATGTTTGCTGGTAGTAGGGACACTTATGGCTCTGGACTGACTCTTGAGTTTGGAATTTGTTTTGGCTAATTTGGCTTGGAATATGGAAAATTAACCCCCCTCTCAAATAGTTGGAAAAATTCTTCTTACCAACCTTTTGGGCACAAACACCCTTTGTCAGACTGAGGAAGCATCTGCAGATGGTCTTTGCTCTTCCTGGATGGGGTGGTAAACAGCCAGAGGCCAGTACCTTTATGCAAGAAAGCCAGTCAGTTAAAATGTAAATTGAAGTGGTCAGTAGGTGAGAGACAGGTGGGAGGGGAAGGGGAATGAATGTAGCTGTAGTCAAAGGATGGGAGACAGGAGAGTAGGGGGGAAGGGAATGAGAGTAGCTGGTAAAGTAGAGGGTTTACGTTTGGGAGTCAGATGTTAGATTTGCCTGTCTGACAAATTCTCCAACACAGCAAATATAACCAAGGTAACTAGTTAAGCCTTATGATGTAGGGCAGGATTAAAACTTTTGTAATAGCATAGATACCATTCTAGATATTGTTCACATCTCCACCTCAGTTGTTAGTGTGATATATTCACATCCCAGTCTAGCTTTGTGGTGATACTGTCACTGTGGACTTAGCAACTTCTCCTGAGGGCAATTCTAAGGCTTTTAGCATGGCTTCCTTCCCTGGCAGGACTAAATGTCATAGCTGTTATCAACAGAGACTCACCAATTAACAGGTTCACTGCAGTTTAGGGCTAGAAGGGGTATTGGGTCCAGCCCTCCTGCTCTGGGCAGGAAAGACTGCTGGGGGCAATGTGGCAAGCAGCAGAGGGAGCTGAGGGTGAGCACTGGGCAATGACTGGCCATGCTGACCTCCCTGCTTCTGGACTGGGGGCTACACAGTCTGCTCTGCTGTGTTTGAATCCATACGCTGGGCCTGTATGGTTTTAAGCTCTCCCTTTGGTCCCTGGGTCAGCCTCAGGCAGCGCCTCCAGCTCAGGCCTCCTTCCGGCACGTGCTCTAGACATGCATAAGAACATTGATATGGATTACCATTTACCGGGTCAGACCATAGGGCCGTCCAGCCCAGTAGCCTGTGTCACCTGGCAGTGCAGATGCTGAAAGGGAGAGAGGACTGGGTATAACCAGGGGTTTCCCCCACTGTTTCTCTCTCACTTGCAGCCTCCATGGTTGAAGGTGGAGGGAAGCTCTTGCTCCCATCCCGCCCTTCCACAGACTGGGTCTGGTGCCTCTGAGGAGCTCTGGCCCAGCCACCCGGGCAGCACTGGCCTCCCCTCAGCCAGGTGACGGTCACCCCAAGGCCCTTGTCCCCAGCGCTCTGCTTTTGTGCACAGCCCTTCGGGCCTGGGGGATATCCCGGGGCAGCAGGGAGGTACCGCAGGCGCCCCGGTTGCTGTTCCCTCCCCAGGCGCTGCCGGCTCCGGCCTTTCCCTTGGCCCCGGCTCCCGCCTTCTACTCTGTGGAAAGGGACGAGATGGAGGCTTTCGGGAGCCGGGCGGGCCGAGCCGGGCGCTGCCTGTCCGCAGGGGGAGGCCCCTCCGTAGCCCCCTGAGGGGGAGACTCCCGCCCGGCGCCGACTCGCGCGGAACGTCAGCGCGGCGGCCCAGCGCGGCGGCGGAGCTGCCTGTCCCTTCCCGGCGGGGCGGGCTTCCGGGGAGTCAGGTGACGGCTGCCGGAGCCAAGGCGAGCGCGGGCGGCCCGGGCCTCTCAGGTGAGCGTGGGGGTACGGGGTCTTGGCCTGTCCTGTCCTGTGGGGTCCGCCAAGGGTTCGGGGCGGCGCCGGTGAGAGGCTGGACCCAGCGCGGGCGCCGAGGGGCTGCCTGGGCTCGGCCTCGGGTGCG